AGCTTTGTTCTGTCCTGCTGGGGCCGAGGCTGCTCTGCACCTCCATTCCCGGCCGCATGGCCCCTCTCCTGGCGTCTCCGGGCAGCCTGGGGAGGTGCCTGCCTGGGCCGGGGTAGGGCGGGGGCAGGTGCAGAGGAGCCCGCGGTGGGGAGGCCTGGTGGGGGTGGGGGAGAGACCCCCTGTGCAGGGGGTGCCAGGCTGCCCCTGGTTGTGCCCCAGGTCACCTCACAGCTCGTCTCTGAGGGGGCAGAGGGCAGCCACAGAGAGGAGAGTTGCCATCTTGAAGCACGCCTAGGGAGGGACAATGAGTGGGCAACGTTTCCTTCCCGCCTTGTGTGGATGTGGGGAGAAGCATTGCTGGCTCACGGCTGCTCCAAGATAGGGCGCTTAGCCTGGCACAGTGCTGGTGGCTCTTTCTCTGCTTCCTCTTGGCAGAGCTCTGTATGCTCAAGCATGTTATTTGTCTCTGAGAAGTGGTGGGAGGAGTATGGGCAGACTCTTGGAGTGAAAAATGGGTATGAAGAAAACCCGTGGTCGCTCCATTGTTGCTTCTGCAGAGCTGGTGTCATGTCGGTTTGGGTTTTGACAATGCTTTGTGTTCTGAGCTCAAGGAATTCATGTCAGCTCACAGTACGATGGTTTCTGTGCTGGGGAGTGAAAGATGGTACTGCCGAATCAGAGAGCCTCATAGGTTTGGGGGCATAACTTAGGGGACATGACTTTCTGTCAAGGAAAGAGAAATACTGTTGGCGTAAGAGAGAAAGAGCTAATTTTGCAAAATTGGGCGTGTATGTCATACATGATGATAGAAGAGCTTCAAGTCATGGTAGCAACTGCAAATCAATGTAGAGTATAAACCAAAACTGAGCAACAATCATCTGCTAATTCTTTTCCTGTTCATCTGAGGCAGCCTTTCTTACACGTCTTACTGCTTGTTGTAGTGTAGTTAGTGATGCACTTCTTTAATTGGAAATAAAGTTCATGGATTAAATGTTTATCAAGACTACAGTATTGTTTCAGTGGAGATCAAATTTCACTTTGAGTGTCATAGCGGCTCTTTTCTGAAGTTTTGAGAACACACTACCATATTGTGGTGTGTTTATTCCTATGTGTTCTTTGGAATTATAACTTCTGTAATTTCAATGCTTTTTCTTGTGTAAATGACAGCAATGAAGCTAATCCTTCAGATTAAAAAAAAAATAAAACACAAACAACAAAAATGGATTTTTCTGCTGTAACTAATTTTTATGTAAAAATGACCCTAAAACTGTGTTTAGATCATTGTGAACTGGCTGTCAGAAGAGATGGTACACAGAAGAAAAATAATATTTACAAATAGTTTAATTCAACTTTTATACTGGTCTTACTACAGTGTGTATTACTTTTCATGCTAACATCTGCACAGGTGTTCAGACCCACCCCAAATTCTCTTCACTTATTCTGCCATATTGCTGCTACAGTGCTTCTTACCCCTCGAGAGAACAGTTAGTGTATCAGCAGCAAAACAGAGGTTCACTTAGTAAGTCCACATACTAACCAGTAGTCAGGTACACACAGGTGTCTGGCGCTTGCATGAATCTCTGATGGTGTTTATAAACTAAAGGTGTGATTAGTTAAACCTGAGGAAACTAATTTGCAAGAATGCTTCTGAATGGAAATTTATGCAGGTACAGGTTCTGGTTGTTCCCTGATCAGTCATCGTCCTTGAACACAGGACTAAAAGGCACTTCCTAAATCCAGTCCCCTGCTGTTGAGACATTCTTAAACTTTTCAATCTCCCTCTTAAAACTAATTAGGTTATTTTCCTTATGTTATCCCACTGTGAGGCTATGCCATGCTCTGAGCTCTGATGGCTAGACACTTTTCTAGTTTCCAGCCTGAATGTATTCATAGCAGGTATAATCCCTTTTGTCCTCGTGCCAACTTCATGCTTTAGTTTAGACCCTTCTTCTCCCTCTGTAGTGTTTAGCCTTGTTGTCTTTGCAG